CGCACCAGCGTGCACTCAAGCGCCCTTCGGTCCTTCAGGCCGCGCAGCTGGTTGCAGCCTGCTTTGCTGAGCAAGAGGAGCAAGCACGACGACGACCACCACCGACCGCAACAGCAGAGGTCGGTGGCGATAGGGAGGGCGGTGGCGATGGTGATGGTGGTGATGGAGGTCGTGGTGCTGTCGATAGAGGTCGTGGTGCTGATAGCAATGGCGGTGGAGATGCTGGTGGCAACGGTGGTGAAGGTGTTGAGGGTGTTGGTGCTGTTGAAAGGGACGGTGAGAGTGCAGCCGAGGAGGGTGCTGTCGAAACAAGTGCGGAGGTGATGGCTGACACGATGGTGAATGAGGCATCACCAGCAGCAACGGCAGCAAGAGGTGTAGAAGATGACGTGTGTGAAGAGCAACAGCAGGAGCGCACGGCAGAGGGTGGGGAGGTGGATGTCGATGTGGAAGCGCAGGCAGCAGTGGGCGAGACAATGATGGAAGGCGCAAGTGAGGAACACGTGACGACAATCGACAGACAAGCAGGGGAGGAAGAAACGCAACGCGAGATGAACGAGGGGAGCGCGGCAGAACAAGTGGGTGCTGTGGCGTCTGTTGTTCTTGTGCGCGAGAGCATTCGAGGCGTCTCCACAACGCTCAACCGCACGAACTTTCATCACAGCTGCATGCAGTATGCAGGATGCAACATCAACAACTGCCTTGCCGGCGTGCTGCTGAACAGCGAGCTAACACACCCAACGCAGCAACAGACGTTGCAGACGTTGCCGGACACGGTGCTTTCACTTCAGGCGGCCCTGCGCGTGCTGGATGGCGTGGATGCTGCTGCCATCACCAGCACGCGATTGGGCATGTACCTGACAGCGTATGTGTACTGCAGGCGACGCGAGTGGAATGTGTTTGCGCTGGGTCTGGCCAGCCACCGCACCACGCTCGGCGGCGGCAGCAGCGGCGGGCGATCACGGGCGCCGCATCGTCTGCATGTGCACGTGAACATGCACGCGCCCGTTGTTGTCGACCACCGCGCGGGCGCACAGGTCAACCGACGGCTGTGCTCGCTGCAGCACCGGGCGCTGGTCCGCTTCATATCCGACGCCATCCAACGACGGGCAGGGGCAGTCCCTGATCGTGTTGGTGCTACTGTTGGCGTTGCTGCTGGTGGTGGTGGTGGTACTGTTGGTGGTGCTGTTGGTGGTGGTGGTAATTGCGGTGCGACGACTGGTGGTGGTGATGTTTATGTGGAGGTGTCGCTGTCGGTGTCCGTTGCTGACCCAGAACACGCCACGGTCAGCACGGTCGACTGCGCAGCTGTTTCGGTGCATGGAGACGCTGGGAAAGAAGGCAGTTTTGGTGTTGCCGGCGGGGATGTGATGAGCGGCAAGCAGAGCGATGAGCAGGGCGATGCTAGGAGCGGTGGTAGCCGAAGCAACAACGACAATAGCAGTCGCAACACCACCACCACCACCAACAACAACAACACCATCAACAACAACAACGACGACAGTGGTGGCAGTGCGAGCGCTTCAGGGCTGTTGCCGGCCCGGTTTCTGGTGTTGCTGGAGGACCTGCTTAAGTGCGGGCTGCGGCGGGCGTGCCGCGATGTGCTGGTGCAACACGCGACGTCGCTGGTGCAGCACCCGGCACTGCTGGCTGGCGCGGCGTTGCTGGCCACGTTTGCGTCCCTCCACCCGCATGTGTATGCAAAGCGGTGGCGCGGGCTGGCTGGGCTCGTGCACACGTGCGCAAGTTCGGAGCACACAGGCGTCTACGGGAGGGAGATGGCGCAGGGCAGGAAGCTGTATCACGACCGCAAACCGCTCGACCACACCCAGCTCGGTGACATGTGCGCATGGGTAGCCACAACACACGCATTCGTGCAGCTGGCGCAGGCGGTGATTGGTGGTGGTGGTGGTGGTGGTGGTGGTGTGCTGCTGCTGCTGCTGCTGCTGCTGCTGCTGATGATGATGATGATGATGATGATGATGATGATGATGATGATGATGATGATGATGATGATGATGATGATGATGATGAATGTGTTGGTGACAGGAGAGACAACGCCATCAACACCGCCAACGACAGCAGCACCACCAACACCACCATCAACACCACCATCACCCCCACCGGCAATGGCACCACAGACAGCATCACCAACACCAGCACGAACAACAACAACAACAACAACAGCAACCATGACAGCAGCAACCGCAGCAGTGTGCATCCTGGCCATGACCTGGACGTGGTGTGGGTGACGCACAAGGTGGTTGACGGGTATGCGCTGCGCACGCTGTGCCATTTCCCAGATGCCTTTCCCTGCCATGATGAGGCATGGCTGCACTTGTGCCAAGAACTTCTGCAGGCCACGGACAAGCGCCGCAAGCAGCAGCGCCAGCAAGAGGAAAGGCAAGAGGAGGGACGTGGCCTTGGCGATGGTGCTGAAGCAGTGGCAGCAACGGCAACGCCAACACTGCAGGGAGGCCTGCAGGGAGGTGGTGGAAAACACAGCCCTCGAGCGAAGAACGCCGCCAGTGACGCTGGTCATGCCAAAGGAAACCCGTTTGCCCTGCTGCTGCTGCCAGATGAATGAGGCCCTCCTTGTGTGTGTTTGCGTGTGTGTGTGTGTGTGTGTGTGTGTGTGTGTGTGTGTGTGTGTGTGTGTGTGTGTGTGTGTGTGTGTGTGTGTGTGTGTGTGTGTGTGTGTGTGTGTTGGAGTGTTCAACGTTTTGGTGAGTGAGGTGTCCTCCTCCTACTCCTCGGAATTTTGTTAGATGATGTCCACAACTTTCAGCAAACAAACCAAACAAACCCGACGAAGCAACTAACTGGCCAAGCCCAAACTGCAATCACTGTGGGAGGAGGATGGGGTTGCTGGCTGGGATCGCGTGCATGTGCCTTGGCGGCGTGCTCGCCGGATTGTACACAGGTGAGGAGGGGAGGGCATACATCTGCTAGCCCGGAGCATGATGGAGTGGGTCACACTTGTTCGTGCGGTCAGTGGATTTGATGGCTGCGATCGTTGACATGACTGCATTACCCGCTGTGTTGGTTGTCTGTCACCTGAAGCTTGTGATTGACACTGCGTTTTGTTCTTGGGCCAGTGCCGATGAACAGGGTGAAAGGCTGGGCATGGGAGAACGTGTGCTTCGTGTACGCAATCTACGGCATGGTATGTGTCTGTGCGTGTGCGTGTGTGTGTGTGCGTGTGTGCGTGCATACGTGTGTGTGTGTAACATTGCTTCTTGTTATCATCCACGACACGCTCACATCATGCTGGCGTTGCAGGTCTTGTTTCCATGGATACTGGTGTTTTTCTCTGTCACAGACGCGCTTCGCGTGTACCAGGAGGCACCGCCCGCCGCGCTTGGGAAGGCAATAGGCATGGGCGTGCTCTGGGGTGTGGGATCAACGCTCTTCTGCTTGGTCAGTGACCCAGTGGACGAGTGTGCTTCCATCAGCAACACTGCAGCTTGTCCTTGACTCATATGTTTGGGCAAGAAAAGGGGGTCTTTCAGCTAGCATGGGGGTATGAATGAGGCAACATACCAGTGCAGGGGCACATTGATGTGGGTTTGTGTTGCCTATTGTCAACAGGGGGTCGATGCATTGGGAAGCAGCCTCGCCTTCTCAATCATCCTGGTCAGTCCAAGCCCGCGACCGCGTGCGGCGGCATTGTTGCTTGAAAGCTGGCTTGTGCCTGTTTCATGCGTGTCCACAACCAACAGAACAGCATCCGACTTTGCGACGAATTCACTCGAGTGGTGCATGTGTGCACGCATGAATGTGTGTGCATGTGCGTGCATTTGTGTCCGTACAGGGGCTGACGGCTGGGCTTGGTTCGGCGGTTCCGCTTGTTGCGCTGCATCCGCACGACATTGCCTCGAACGAAGGCATCATGACGTGGTGCGCATGTCATGTGTTGCGTTTGGCGGGCGGGGACGGGGGCGGCAGCAACCGTTGGTCGTGTGAAGGCGTTTGAACATGTCTTTGTACAGAGCTCACGTGCTTGTGCTGGCTTACTTGGGGCAACTGGATTCCCCTCAATTGACTTGTGTCCGTGTACGCGTGCGCGTGTGTGTCTACTAGGGTTGGTATGGCGGTCATTTTGATAGGTCTTGTGTTTCTGGGACGCGCAGGCAAGCTAAAAGAACGAGAGCAGGTACGTACGCGTGTGTATGTGTGTGCGTGCGTGCATGTGTGCGTGCATGTACGCGTGTGTATGTGTGTGCGTACATATGTCCTTCATGTGTGCGTGCGTGCGTGTGCTATGCATGTTCGCGCCAAGTGCAACGGAAAATGCCTTGTTGTGTTCCTCCGTTTCCGTGGAATTGGCCACACCAACACACCATCACATGTTTGAGTCGTTCTGTCGCCATCAACACCAACAGCGCGGTGGTGCGGTCGTCCTCAATTCTGCTGCAACGGAGGGAACACCACTGGTCCTTGATGCACAACACAACACCCTGGAGGCGGGGGGTGCCAGGAGCATCAAGCCCAACAAACACAAAGCCATCAATGGCACCCCACCATCAAGCCCTAAACTATCTGCCTCCTCCTCACTATCGCCGTCATCATCGTCCACTTTCCTTTCCGGTCTCATCATCTGCCTCTTCTCCGGCGTGTTCTCCCCAGCACTCAACTTTGGCATCACCTTCGGCAGGTGCGTACATGTGTGTGCATGTGCGTGTGTGTGTGTTTGCTTGTGCGTGTGTGTGCATGTGCGTGTGTGTGTGTTTGCTTGTGCGTGTGCGTGTGTTTGTTTGTGTGTGTGTGTTTGCTTGTGTGTGTGTGTGTTTGTTTGTTTGTTTGTATGTGTGCACGCATGTGTGTATGTATGTGTGTGCGTGTGTGTTTGTTTGTGTGTATGTGTGCACGCGTGTGTGTGTTTGTGTGTGCGTGTGTGTGTTTGTTTGTGCGTGTGAATGTGTGTTTGTTTGTGCGTGTGTGTGTTTGTTTGTATGCGTGTGCATGTGTGTGTGTGTGTGTATCCTCACCTGCTCGTGTGTGCGCGCGTACTTGCACACGTGCGATCTGTGTTCGATTGGGTGACAAACTCGACCCTGTGATGTCGCTGCTTGCGTGGCTGTCGACCTCCCTCGTGGCCCAACGTATGAATGCAATGGATGCAGTGACATTACGGACACGGCGACGCGCCTTGGCACGCCCTCTGCGCTGTCCAACAATGCCACGTGGTCGCTCGTTGTGGGGGGCGGGTTCATCATCAACCTCATCTGGTGGTCGTACCAGATGACAATGGTGCGTATCGTGTTGATTTGTGCAGGAAGGTGCTGTCTGATGCACAGCTGTGTGCCTTTGTGACTCTGACCCGTGCTCCATGCTTGCGTGTGCGCACGTTCGCGTTTGCACTTGGCGGCCTCACACGACCAGTGGCGGTGTTGCTGCCTGTGTGACGCTGCAGAACAAGACGTGGGGGAACTTTTGGTTGCGCGAGCCAAAGGCTGCACCACTGCACAACACCATGTGTGGAGTGCTTGCTGGTGGCCTGTGGTACGGTGGCAACGTCCTGTACGGCGTGGGTGGACAGCTTGTCGGCGACCTGGGCACTGTACGTGTTGCTGTCTTTATTTGTTTATGCGTTTGTACCCGTTTGTATGTGTGAGTGTGGGTTTATGTGAGTGTGAGTGTGTGTTTGTGTGAGTGTATGTGTATGCGTGAGTGAGTGAGTGAGTGAGTGTGTGTGAATGTGTGTGTTTGTGCATGTGTGTGTGCATGTGTGTGTGCATGTGTGAGTGAGTGAGTGAGTGAGTGTGTGTGTGTGTGTGTTTGTGAATGTGTGAGTGGGCTTGCGCTTGCACCAGCATCTGCGCCTCTTCTGTGCTTTGTGTTTGTGCCAAAAACAATCGCCCGGGAGTTTGACATAAACAACTGCCTTCATCGCTCCTGCCCCATCCCTTCCTCCTTCATGCACGCTGCTTGACTTTGCGATCGTTTTGGCGCAGGTGCTTGGGTTTCCCATCTTCTTGAGCCTGATGATCATCACCTCGAGCGTTGCTGGGGTCATCACAGGTCCGGCTGTGGCTGACTCTGTATGCGTATGTGTGCGTGTGCATGTTTGTGTGTGTGCGTGTGCATGTTTGTGTGTGTGCGTGTGCGTGTGTATGTGTTCGTGTGCATGTTTGTGTGTGTGCGTGTGCGTGTGTATGTGTTCGTGTGCATGTTTGTGTGTGTGTGTTTGTGTGTGTGGTTGCTGTGTTGAGAGTGGTGTGGTGCCCACTTCACAACAGCATCACCCTCACGCGCGCTTTCTTGCTTTCTTCCATCCATCAACCACCCACACGATGATAGGAGAATGGCGAGGGACGAGTGTGCGATCGCGATCGCACATGCTGGGTGGGATGCTGCTCTTGGTCGTGGCTGTTGTGCTCATTGGCGTCGGCCCCATCCTCTGACGCTGCGCACACCCCATAAACAACACCACCTGCCAAGAATGTGAAGAAGATGAGACATGAACCTATGAACGTGGCACACGGTAGCAGGCGGTGGGAGAAAGGAGAAAAGAGAAAGCAAACAGCTAAACAGAAGGGCGTGAACGAGCGCGGCACACGGTAGCAAGCACACACAAACAACAACAGCAAGCCTTGACGGTCCTCCCAGGTTGCTGATTTTTGGAGAAGATGTTCACAATATTCGAAGACAGCGCAATCCACTGACAACACAACCATAAACAACAAGCACACTCGATCGAAAGCACATCGAACTCACAAACGCCCACCACCATCGTACAACGCAGCCAAGATGTCGCTGAAGAGTGTCTCCTCGAGCCTGCCCAAGTCTGGGTGGGATACACTGCACAAGCTGATCACCGCCGGCGCCTCTGCCTCCGATGTTTCTTCCTCTGGTGAGTCCAGAGGGCGGGGAGGGCGTGTGACATGAACAAGAACAATACGGCATTGTGTGCATGTGTGCATGTGTGTGTTTGTGCGTGCGTGCATGTGTGCATGTGTGTGTTTGTGCGTGTGTACATGTGTGTGTGTATGTGTGCATGTGTGTGCGTGTGTGTGTGTGAGCATGCGCGCGAGTGTGCGTTTGTGCGCGTTTCAGCGTCCAACTCTCGAGTTGCCGCGTCCAGCGCGTGGATGCATGTGCAATGACCGCTGACCAGCTGCCACCCACCAATCATGACGTGCTGCACAGGCGTTTTGAAGACGCTTGTGGGTCTCATCAAGAAGAACAAAGAAATGGTTCGTCTGCACACACACACACTCTCTCTCTCTTTGTGATGAATGCACCGAGGGGCTCTGGTGATTGATTGACACACACACACACGCACGCACGCACGCACGCACACACACACACACACACACACACACACACACGCACACACACACACACACACACACACACACACACACACACACACACACACACACACACACACACGCATGCATCAGTTTGGTGCACTTGGCAAGCACCGTGCACGTGCGTACGCGTCCAGTGTACCTGTGCAAAGGTTTGCCCGACCCTGATCTCCTCCTGTTGTTGTTGTTAACGCCTCATGTTTGCTGCTGCTGCAGGATAAGGTGGCGCAATCCCTCGCCACCATGGCTGGCGCCTCCAAAGACATCGGTGCAATGCTGATTACCAACAAGGTGTTGGAAGCGCTGCAGTCTGCCAACTCCTCCTCCTGGTCAACTGCTGCCAAAACCAGCATTGCCAGCATGCTCCGCCACCTCGCTCTTGCCCACCAGAGCGACACCTTCCGTGGTGCGTGTGCTGCTACATACATGTGCTGCTGCTGTTGTTGTTGTTGTTGTTGTTGTTGTTGTTGTTGTTGTTGTTGTTGTTGTTGTTGTTGTTGTTGTTGTTGTTGTTGTTGTTGTTGTTGTTGCTGTCATGTCTCTGCTTTTGGTTTTGTTTTGTGTCCCACGCGAGTGGCTGCTGTGGTTGTGGTGGAGGCGTGGGAGATGGCGCGTCTGCCGTTGCCCCAGCATTCATTCGCATTCCTGTTTGTTTCCTCCCTTCCCGCTTGCCTCTGCGTGCGCAGCGTTTCCCCTGATCATCGAGCTTCTTAACACCGGGCCCGACGCCGCGCAGGTGACGGCATCGGCGAACGACAGAACGAGAGCGCGCGTGTGTGTGCGTGCGCGTGTTTACGTGTGTGTGTGTGTGTGAGATCGACAAATACGGGTGCTTTCAAACTCACGCACACAAATCCAAGATGATAGCACAGACACACGTTCACACAACATCCAACATAACGCGACACAGCTGTACACTTATTGCTCCTCTTCCCTCTTCCCTTGTTTGTGTGCATCCATCATCTCCACCATCTCCATCCATAGGAGGAAGTGGCAGCTGCTCTGCAGGCGCTTGCATACAACGCCGGCCTCAAGCAGCAGATTGTCGATTCTGTCCACCTTGCAGACGTACGTGCACATGTAGAGACAGGCAGGCAGGCTTGAGTTCGTTTTGCAGTGCTGCCTGTGTCTCTCAGCACGTGTTGCGAGCATGCGATGCTTGCGATGCTTGCTCACCTTGGTCTTCACACACACACACACACACACACACACACACACACACACACACACACACACACACACACACACACACACAAATTGCACATGAAAGCTAATGCATCCACGCCGCCCTCAATTTCAACTGCACGCGTGTGGGTGTCACACGTGTCGTCGTGTCATCTTCCCTGCATATATGAATTCTGTTTCATTGAATGTGTGTGTGTGTGCGTAGATTTGCAAGGCGGTGGACACGTCTCGCCCGATCCGCGTGCAGCGCTGCTGCATGGCTGCACTCAACAACCTCTCCGTCAGCTCCCGTCAGTCGCCACCAATGCCCTTCAATCGTTGTGTTTGTTGTGTGTGTGGTTGTGTGTTCGTGTTTGTTTTGCTGTGGCGTTCGTTGTTGTTGTTGTTGTTGTTTCTGTGGTGATGGTTGTCAGTGTGTTTGCTGCCAATGGGAACCCGGTTGCTTTCATCATGAATCGGTGGGAAATTGTGTCGTGTGGGCGTTACCAACTCACAATCGTTCTTCTTGCTTATTGCCAACCTCCCCCTCCTCAACCTGCTTGCGCTGACATTCAAGACACCACGGGTCTGGATGCCAAGATGTTCAAGAAAGGTACGATGTGGGCTGTTTCAACGCTTGCATCATCGTGATTAATCGTGCCACGTTTGTGTCTCCCCCCCCCACCACACACACACACACGTACCTCATCGTATATCTCCCACCGCTGCGGCCTCACATCTCTCGTGGCTGCATGCGCAGGCGTTCTTGAGACAGTCGTGAGCGTGATGAAGGAGAACGATGACGGCGAGGTTCTGAAGCACACCTACTGCTTCACCCGCAACATCACGCTGGCGCAGGAAGACGTCAAGGCGTATCTCACAGACAACGGCGCAAAGTGCATCTTCCACGCCCTCCAGCACAGCGCCGGCCCCGTCCGCGAGCACTCTGCAGGTTACACGCGCTGCTCTGGGCTTGCGTATGTGTTTGTTCGGGCTGAGTGTGTGCGTGCTTTGTACGTGCGTGTGTGTGTGTGTGTGTGCTTACATGGCGAGTGTGTGATCAACTGTGAGGTTACACTTGACTCTGCGCCCTTGCCATGATGTCCGCCTGCTTGTTGTCATTGCAAGCAGCCGTGACATGACCTCACAGCACCTCCTCTCTTCCTCCTTCGACCCTGTACATCCCAGGTCTCATCCGCAATTTGGGCACGAACGGGTCTCAGGCCAACGCGCGCAAGAACGCCATCATTGATGCCGGAGTCATTCCAGTTCTGGTCAAAACGCTCAAGAACGACCAGCATGCCGGCGCCAAGCTCCAGGTGCGTCTTTGTTTGCTTGGTTGTGCGTGTGTTTGTGTGTTTGTGTGTTTGTGCGTGTGTGCGTGTGTGTGTTTGTGCGTGTGTGTTTGTGTGTTTGTGTGTGCGTGTGTTTGTGTGTGCGTGTGTTTGTGTGTTTGTGCGTGTTGATCTGCATCAGCTCACGTCCGTGCACTTCATGCCGACACGACCGGCGCACAGGCCGCCTATGCGCTGTGGAACCTGTCCAACTCGACGCACGGCGCAAAGACCATCATGAACATGGGCCTCGTCCCAGAGATCCTGGAGATCTACGAGCCCGTCACGTGGGAGTGAGTTGCTGCTGCTGCTGATGATGGTGGTGGTGGTGATGATAATGACAGTGGTGGTGCTCACTGCTTTCGTTGTCCCCGCTGTCTCAATTGCTGCTGTAATTATGTTGTTGTCGTTGCGTTTCTGTCGTTTCTCATGTCAACCTGTGTTTGTCCACGCCGTCTTCCGCCCCACATCTGCAGCGACAAGCTGAACAACGAGGTGTACAAGAGCAAGCTGGTTGGCGTGCTGTGCTGCCTGTGCGCCAACGCTGGGGAGGACGGCTGCAACAAGCTGCGCGAACACGGCCTGCAGAACCACCTCCACCCGCTCATGATGTCCAAGGTCCGCAGCCCGTGATGTGATTGGCGCGATAGGGCGCCGTGTGCTGTGGCGAACATGAATGTGTGTGTGTGTGTGTGTGTGTGTGTGTGTGTGTGTGTGTGTGTGTGTGTGTGTGTGTGTGTGTGTGTGTGTGTGTGTGTGTGTGTGCGTGTGTGTGTGTGTGTGTGCGTGTGCGTGTGTGCGTGTGCGTGTTTGCGTGTGCGTGTGTGAGAATAGCGATGCGAACCTGCGCATACTCGCCACTGCGATTCATGCACACATACACACACTCACGCACACGCACACGCACACACACGCACACGCACACGCACACCTACACACACACACACATACGCACACACACACATACGCACGCACACACACATACGCACACGCACACGCACACCTACACACACATACGCACGCATACACACGCACACGCACACACACGCACACACATACGCACGCACGCACGCATACAATCTCCCCGAACCTCCCTGCCCTCACGTTAATACGCTGGCCACTGCCTCTTCACAACACCGCCAACGCCGATGCATGTGACAGGATGCGTCGCGCCAGCCCATCAACGCTGCATGCGGCCTTGCCAACTTGGTCGGTCACCTCGAGAACCACCCGCTGCTGGAAGCGAACACCACCATCTTTGAAATGATCTGCGAGTGCATCGAGGTGCGAACATACTCACGCGCTCACGCTGTGACATTCCTATCCTCTGCTGATATCGTCACCCTTGCTGTCGCTGTCGCTGTCTTTGTCGCTGTTGTTGTCGTACGACATTGCTGATGCACTGCGTGTTGAACCGCAACCAACTTCGTCAAGTGATGCCCGTTTTCTGCTGCCACCCACCCCACCCTTCTCATCACACGCCCACCTTCACCTCCTCCGCCTAACCCCCGCAAACATAACATTGCACCATCTGCACCACTCGCTCTGCACCACTCGCTCTGCACCACCGTCGCATGCCCATGGCGACACCTGCAGGCAACGCGCAAGGGCCAGGCGTACCACGGCGCTTACTACTCCGAGTGGGGGCTTGTGCGCAACCTGGCGAACATGTCCGTGTCAGACTCCAACAAGCCGCTGCTGAAGAAGACCAAGTCTGTTGAGTGTGCCTGCCGCGGGTTCCGTGTTGGCGCCAAGTACATCAAGCATGAGGACTGCGTGGCGAAGCTCATCTCCAACATGAGCTTTGCGTACAATCTGGAGACAGACTTTGATGTGGACGTCATGTCCATTGTCCGCGACATCAAGGACAAGTCCAAGTCCCCAGAGGTATGTGGTGTGTGTGGTGCGTTGTGGTGTGCATGCGTTGTGGTGTGTGCGTGGTGTGTTGTGCGTTGTGGTGTGCATGCGTTGTGGTGCGTGTTGTGCGTTGTGGTGTGCATGCGTTGTGGTGCGTGTTGTTTTCGAAACTCGTCTTTCTCTCCTTGCTGCACTGTCATCCCCTCTTCCTTCCACCATTCGCACCACTCCACCGTCTCAACAGACTCACCCGTCTCACACTACAACATCCTCACCTCTCCCCTTTTGCCCCTGCCATCCACGCCCCCCCCCCCAAATCCAGGCCCGCAAGATGGCTGAAGTTGCGCTGTTCCAGCAGAAGTTCCGTGAGGAGAAGCCTGCTGACCTGCAGGCGAAGGTGAAGGCAGCCGCAGCCAGCAGCGGCGAGAACGGCCACGTCATGATCTCCTACCCGTGGAAATGGTGCGTTGGAACGTGCTGCTTACGCTGCTGTTGCTGTTTGTCCTTTTGCTTGTTGCTGTTTGCCCTTGCGCTGCCGTTCGTTCTTGTGCTGCTGTTGCTGTTCGTTCTGTTGCTGGTGCATGTGCTAGTGCTTGTTGGCGCGTGTGGCGGACATCAGCGTCACGGCGTCAGCCGAGAGGGCGTCTGTCTTCTGTTCGCACCAACCGAGACCTTCGAAAGCTTCTTTCTTGCCTTCAGCATCATCACCACCATCCATTGTCCCACCTCACCAACACCATCACTTGTTGCTCTCTCCGCTCTCTTTCTCCCCTCTTCCCCTCCTTCCCGCGTGCACGTGTCTGGTCTACGCATTGCAGGCAGCCGCAGATGGTTGCACTGAAGAAGTTCCTTGAGGACAACGGCGTGAGCTGCTGGTTTGACCTGGACGACATGTCTGGTAGCACGCTGGATGCCATGGCCACTGCTGTGGAGGGCGCGTGTGCGGTGATTGTGTGCCTCTCCTCCGAGTACAAGGAGAGCGCCGCCTGCCGCTCCGAGGGTGAATACGCCTTCAACCTCAAGAAGCCAAGTCAGTCGCTTTCGAGCGTTGTGTTGGTGTGTGTTGGTGTGTGTGTTTATGTGTGTGTGTGTGTGTGTATGTGTGTGTGTGTGTGCTGATTACTGCTTTCGTTTTTGTCACCTCGTTTTTCTGCAATCTTTGTGTCAGCTCACACACATGCAAAAACACACACCCGCACCACAAACGACACCAACAATGTGCTGCAGTTGTGCCTGTGAAAGTTGACCTGAACTACCACCCCGATGGCTGGCTGGGCATGCTGCTCGGCTCAAAGCTCTACTTTGATGTCTCCTCAGACAGCGCCATGGCCACAAACGGGCCAAGCCTGCTCAAGGAGGTGTGTTAGTGTGTGTGCGTGCGTGCGCGTGCGTGTGTGTGCGTGTGCGTGTCAGTGTGTGTGTGTGTGCGTGTGCATCTGTGTGTGTGTGTGTGGGGGGGGGGCTCGCGCTCATCTGTGCACGTTGCATACTCCTTGGGCAGGTTCTGAAGCACTACAAGGGCAAGAGTGGCCCGCAGCCCGGCGGCCACAGCATCAAGGTGCACACCAGCATACTGTGTGATCTTGACCATGTGGTTTTGTGGGCGATCTCTGCCTTTGTCACACAGGTTTTCACATGGTTTCCGTCGTGCGCGCACACACACACACACACACACACACACACACTGTCTCTCATACACACACGCACGCACGCACGCACGCACGCACGCACGCACACACGCACACACATACACACACGCACACACATACACTCACACACTGTCTCTCATACACACACACACACACTCATATCACAATCACAATCACAGCCGCCACCGCCGGTGCAGACGCCGACAAAGGGTGATGCGCCAAAGTCTGTGCCGTCCACCCCCGCCCCTGCACCTACGCAGACGGCACCTGCCGCCCCAGGGGTCAGCGCAGACGTGATCAAGACCATTCTCGACTCGTTCCTCACCAACCTGGAGAAGACACGCGAGAACATCACAAAGCAGTACGTTTCAGTTGCAGTGCCGGTTTGTGTGTTGGGTGTGTGTGTTGAGTAGGTAAGGCTTGGGGGGAATCGACGTGTGTGTGTGGCTGTAAGGAAAATGCACACACACACACTCACACACACACACACACACACACACACACACACACACACACACACACACACACACACACACACACACACACACAACGTGGTCTATCGCCCTCACAACCCTCAAAACAACACGCCACACCACACGATGCAAATGATGTGCAGTGTTGACGAGCGGTTCAACGCCCTGGATGAGCGCGTGCGCGCCCTGGAGCGCAAGGTTTTCAAGAAGTAAACGCAGCACACACACGCACACAAGATGTGGTGACCGCTTCTGGTTTGTTGGTCCCTCTGCGTCACCCGGTTCAAATTGTTAACCACCTTGTTGCCTGCTTCCTTTCCTTGCACTTGTTGCCTGCTTCACCCATTCACTCGTTCCTTGCTTCACTTGTTGTGCTTGCTCGCTCGCTCTCTCTTGCTTGCTCGCTCTCTCTTGCTTCCGTGTTTGCCTCGTTTGCCTCATTGCATTCGTTTCCTTCTCCGCCCGCGTTTTGAGTGGCGACGATTTGCATAAACACCTTAGAAATTTCGTCATCCTTTACGCGAACGACCAGCCAAGACAGACAACCACGCCACCAACCACAACACATTGACTGCATTCCCCCCCCCCCCGCACACCCACTCACACACACAGAGCACCGCGACCATGTCTGATGAGATGGTGGCTCAGGCGCTGAAGCGCGCCAAGGCGCGGGAGGAAGGGCTAGCTGCTTCGTTCATGGCGCCAGCGGCAGAGACGGAGGAAGAGCGCGGGCGCCGCCGCAAGCGCAGGAGCAGGTGGGGCAACCAGCCCGCGCCAACCATCACCCCGCTGCTGCCCACCACCCTGCCGCCGGGCTTGACCAAGGAGCAGGAGAAGCAGTTCCTGACGCAGGTGCGCATTGACGAGCTCACCACCAAGATCCGCAACAAGTACGTGCCAGAGGATCGCTCGCCGTCGCCAGAGCCCGTGTACAACCAGCAGGGCCAGCGCCTCAACACGGCGGAGATCCGGTACCGGCAGAAGTACGAGAAGGAGCGCCACGACCTCATCCAGGAGATGATGAAGTTGAAGCCATCGTACAGACCGCCCATGGACTACAAGCCTCCAGACAACAAGCTGACTGACCGCGTCATTGTCCCACAGGAGAAGTACCCAGACATCAACTTCATGGGCCTGCTCATTGGACCGCGCGGCCACACCCTCAAGAAGCTGGAGCGCGAGACAGGTGCAAAGATTATGATTCGCGGCAAGGGAACCGTCAAGGCAGGCAAAGGTACCGTAACTCACCAACTCACCCACTCATTGCGAGCGCTTCACGTTTCTGCGGGGTTTGCTTTCTAACCTTATCAACTCCACACACACACAAACACACACACACACACACAAAGACACAGAAACACACACAGACACACACAGACAAAGACACACACAAAGACACACAAACACACACAGACACACACTCACACAAACAGACACACAGACACATTTTCACTTTCATACACACACCACGCGCAACCACCACTATCGTACTGAACATGCTGTACTGGCTACCTTGTACTCATCAAACTCACCACAAGCAAGACTCACCCCTTCTCACTCCGTCAGCCTCATATGACTAACACACACTCACCCATACTCATCCGCGCCACGTACTTTCGCCAATACTCACACAACCCCGTGTCTCTCAACGCGATTGCTCTTGCTCTTGCTTGCTTGCCTGCGCGCTTGTGCTCTGTACTGCTGACACCGCAACTGCATATGGTGCTCGCCGTCTGCCATGCGCTGCGCTGCATCACGGCACTCGTCACTTGCATTTTTCCCCCTCCCGTGTGCGCACGCACGTGTCGATGCCACTTGCCTGCTGCGTGCCATTTCCCTGTGTTGACAGCCGGTGCACGCCCCTCTGCAAACGACTTTGAGGGCGAGCCCATGTTTGCGCTGATCCAGGCGACGGACGCGCAGAAGCTGAGGAAGGCCGTGGCCACCATCGAGGAGGTGATCAAGATGGCCATTGAGACGCCCGAGGGCCAGAACGAGCTCAAGCGCATGCAGCTGCGCGAACTCGCCCTGCTCAACGGTACGCTGCGAGACGACGAGCAGTTCCTTCGCTGCAAGAACTGCGGCTCCAGCCTCCATCGCACGTTCCAGTGCCCCGAGAAGCAGAACTTTGTGAACCAGCAGACGTGTTCTGTCTGTGGCGGGACGGGTCACGTTGCTGCCGACTGCCGTTACAAGCGCCCCAATGTGAGTCACTGCTGAGTACGTGCCTATGTATGATTGTATGTATGTATGATTGTATGTATGTATGTATGTATGTATGTATGTATGTATGTATGTATGTATGTATGTATGTATGTATGTATGTATGTATGTGTGTAGGTGTGTGTGTGTATGGACGTGCGTGCGTGTGAGCTCGTGAGTGGACGTGCGTGTGTATTTGAGTGAAGATGACAGTGCATGTAGGCGTGCATGTAGGCGTGCATGAAAGCGTGCATGCTTTCTTGATGAAAATGTCCCTCTTCACATGCGTCTCGAGATTGTCTGGCGACACTACCTCCATCACCTCACTGCTTCCCCTTCATCCCTCTTTTTTTGCTTCCCTCACTTCATCAGGCGTCAGGCCCGCCTGCTTCGAGCGACACGGCCAACCAGGCCAAGATGGACAGCGAGTATCTGTCCCTCATGGCTGAGCTTGGTGAGGTGCCGGCCCAGCCCCCACCACCGCCAGCTACAACAACAACAACAGCGCCGGCGCGGCGAACGGGCCCCATCTTGGGAGAGGCGCCGCCAAACTTGATGCGGTCGCACCAGCCGCCAGCATCGACAGCTGCACCGCCGCCGCCACCGCTGCCATCGTCGTCAACACCGGCATCCTCAGGCCCACCGCAACACACGTCCGCATATCCGCCGTACCAACCTGCAACGAGCAGCACAGCACCAATGACAACGACAACAACAACATCAGCACCACCACCGCCGCCAACATCAGCACCACCACCACCACCACCACCAACGGCAGCAGCAGTGGGCACGGGCAACGGGCAGCAGGGGCCACCGCTGATTACGCCGCCTGTGCCGGGTGGCAGCCACGCTCGCCCCTCCGTGCCGCCCATCAGCGGTGGGGCGCCGCCACCACCACCACGCCCTTACGGCGGCGGTGGTTACGGACACAACTCCTACCACCAGCAGCCCCACAACCAAGGTGCGCGCTTGTGATCATTCGCTGTGTGTGTGTGTGTGTGTGTGTGTGTGTGTGTGTGTGTGTGTGTGTGTGTGTACAAACGTGATCCATTGGCGGACGCTGTTTGCGTGCTTGGCTCATGTGTCCTGCTCGGTTTTTCTGTGCAGCTGCTGTCACTTGCTTTCTCATCATCTTGCGTGCACGCGACTGCTTGTGATTGCTTGGCAAGCAGGCGGCTGGCCCGGGTATCAAGGGCAGCACTACCAGGGCCACTACAACCAGTACGGCGGCTATCACGGCTACCACCAGCAAGGATATGGCCAGCACTACCCATACGACCAGCAGGGCTACGGTCAACAGCCACCGCCTCCGCCACCTCCCGACAACCAGCCACCACCTCCTCCACCCCCACCAGACAACCAGCCTCCACCCCCACCCCCGCCGCCGAGCAACTAAGCTTGCGTGCGTGTCGTCGTGTCGTCGTGTCGTCGTTGGCTTGAGGCGTGTTGGGGGTTCACCGCAATGTCCCTGGACTTGCTGTTGTTGCGTACTTGCTGTTCATGTTTGATTGTATGGTTTTGTGTGTGTGTGTGTGTGTGTGTGTGTGTGTGTGTGTGTGCTGTGTGTGTGCTGTGTGTGTGCGTGTGTGTGTGCTGTGTGTGTGTGTGCTGTGTCGTTTGTCTGTTCGACTCACCTTTGCGTGCAGTGTTGTTGCTTTGCTCACCCTTGCCTGCTGCTCACCACCGTCTTTGCTCCACTCATGCTGTGTGTCGTTCACAATGGCGTGCTCACGATCCACTGGATGTTTGGCTCACGGTTTTATGTTGCGTTGTTGTCAGTTCACATCAGTCAAGTTGCCCCACACAATAAACACAGGAGATCAATATGTGCGACGTCCCCCACATCAGCAAGCAGCATGACGCTGCTTGCAACACACACACACACACATGCACAAACAAAACAAACAAACAAAAAACACACACACACACACACACACACACACACACACAAGCTCCGTTGCGTCATGCTGCCGGTCGAGCGATTGCGCCAAACGTGTAAGTGCGGAGACGCGAGTCTGCAGCAGCAGCGACGACAGACTGCGGCGTCGCGCACACACACGCAATCGGGTCCAGGTTTGATCCTGAGAGCTCGTGCGTCTGGAGCGAGTCAACGTCGAGTACAAAGCAGCTTCCGTCTGCAGCGCCAACCACAGCACCGCGGCTGTGGTGGTGGTGGCGGTGGGGATGGTGACGATGGTGGAGGGGGAATGCATGGTGATGAAGATGGAACAGCAAGGCGTGTGAGCACATCAGCGCCGTGTAACCCACATTACAAGAGCAACAAAAGGCAAGCAGTTCTGGCAGTGCAGTGCACACCTGGCGACAGTGACTGGTGCGCGTGTGAGTGCGGTGACGGGCGCCTCCCATCGGCTCACGGTCACAACAGGTTCACTGGCAGTGGCACGGCACAGATGCGGGCACGAGCGAAGGAGAAGAAGGGGTTGGTGTGAGGAGAGTTGTGCAAGTGAGCGTGCAGAGTGGCTGGGAATACAAACAACAACAACAACAACAACAACAACAACAACAACAACAACAACAACAACAACAACAACAACAACAACAACAACAACAACAACAACAACAACAACAACAACAACAACAACAACAACAACAACAACAACAACACACACACACATACACACACACACAAAAAAAACCCCCAAGCACGTTGGGGACAAGATACGGGAGCAGCCACGCAGCAGCGCGCACCTGAACTTTCTGCAATCCCACAGCGAAATGTGGCCGTTCTCGTGGCCGCTCGCAAAATGCACGTCATCAAACGCGCCTGTCACGTCACACATGCGCGTACGTGCGTGTGTGTGAATGAGTGCAAACGTGGGGGACGCAATTGTTCACACGCGATGAATCATTTGCGGTGACGCACACACACACACACACACACACACACACACACACACACACACACACACACACACACACACACACACACACACACACACACACACACACACACACGCACGCACACACACACACACACACGCACGCACACACACACACACACACGCACGCACACACACGCACGCACGCACGCACGCACACACACACACACACGCACGCACGCACGCACGCACACACAAACACACGCACGCACACACATTCTCTCTCTCTCTCTTCTGTGCTCAACGTACAGAGTGCAGACGGCTTAGGAACTTGAACAGAAGACAGCTGTTGTGAACAATAAAAGGAGCAACAGGCATGGGGGAGATCAGACCAGCGCAGTGAGGAGCCAGCAACACACACACACACATACATACACACACCCTCGGAGCACAACGTACAGCGTGCTGTGCTCTGAGGTCGATGAGTGTTATCCTTGAGAGGGAAGCGGCAACAACGACGCGGCCCTCTGTTCCAGCCTCTCGCTCGTCTGCGTAGTGTGTGTTTTGTGTGTTGTGCGTTGTGCGTATTGTGGGGTGAGTGTGAACGTGTGAGCTTGCAGTGAATGGAAGCTGGATTGTCTCTTTGGGTCAGCGTGCTGTGCATACACTCTTAATTGCAATCACTCCTATGTAGCTCGCGACACACACACACACACATGTACGCACGAATAACGCGCTCGACGTTTGACGAGACGATATCGGGGCAGGTGAGGAGGGCGATTGCCGTTGGATTTGCGTCCATTTCAAACGAATGCAGACAGGCAGCAGTACCGCAGTCCCATAACCGCACACGCCCGTCCATGGCCGCCGCTGACACGAACGCGGGGAGCACAATGTGAGAATGCATGTGAGTAAGCATGATGCGTGTGAGCGTGAGCATGAGCGTGATGTGAGTGTGTATGCGTGTGTGAGTGCGTGAGCGTGATGTGCGTGTGTGTGTGTGTGTGTGCGTAAAGCTGAGCCACGTTGCATCCAGGTCCCCGTTCCGACTGGACAAATCAGCGGCAGTGAATCGCACGACATACAGAGAACGTTGCGTCCACGATCAACAATTGCAACATCCCGCACAGCTACATAAACGTACATGTGGTGCGGTATTATGGTGAGGCAAAGTCGACAACGAGTTGCATTGCAGTTCAAGGTAAAAGGGACTCTCAGGCACACTCGTCGTGGCGTGTGTGTGTGTGTGTGTCAGACATGTCCGAATTGCATCCAGTTCACGCACATAACCAGTGCAGGTGCGTGCAACCGATCACCCCCACCCCTCCTGACACGCCATCAAGGGCACCCGCACCTCCAGCGTGCGTGAAGGAGACCGGGTTTGAGCTGTCGACAGCAGACCAGATGCGTGCGCGCCAGTCGGCACCGGCTGTGAGGACCACTTCGCCGCTCGGGAAGAAGCGGCACGTGTGCACGTCGCCTTTGTGGCCCTTGAGGTGCCGCTGGACAGAGGGTAGTAGCGGCCGCAGGGGTGAAGCAACGCTCGTGATGAGTGGGATGGCGCACGAGGGAGAGGCACGCACAATTTCACGGCACAACAGACGCAAACACTTCGACAGACAGGCAGGCAGATAGACGAACACACACAGACACAGACAGACAGACACAGACAGACAGACACAGCCACAGACAGCCACAGACAGACACAGACAGACACAGACAGACACACACACACACACACACACACAGGCCAACGGACAGTATGGGGATACCAAGGGCTTGAGGTCGGAGGTGTTGAGGATGGCTGCGCTGCCATTGGTGCCAGAGCAGACGAGAAGATCGCCAGCAGGGGACACGTCCACAGAGAGGGGCTGGTGGCATGCGACAAACACGTGAGACCAGGCGAGCAAGCAAGACGAGTAAGTTGTAGCTCCAGCAGCAACAGTGAGGCAAAGTGCTTCATGGCCAAAGAGCTTCATGGCCAGACCTTGCCGTTGAAAGGGGCCTTGTCCTCCTTCACAGGACATGAAATGTGCCAGGTGGTGTCTGCAAAAGCCTCGTGCTTGATCGCCAGTGTGTTCTGGGTGCAACCAACAGCGTCATTACAACGTGTGAGCACTTGGATGTCAGCATGCGAACCGTGGTGGCTTGCACACTTGGTTGGGCATGTGTGTGTGTGTGTGTGCAGCAAGGATGACAGGTGTGGTCGCAGTTCGCAGCCGGGTTGAAGGAGACATGACAAACCTCGCCCAGCTTGTGAACGTCGTATCCATCCGTGCCATGCAGCGTACCATCACGGTTCACTTTGCACTTGCCGTGGTAGCTCCTGTCTGCGCCTGTCATCGGAAAAGTGAGCGCGTGTTTGTGAGTGTGCTTAAGTGAGTATGTGTGCTTGAATGAGTGAGTATGTGAGTGCGTGCGTAAGAGTGTGTATGAGGGTGAAGCAGCAGCAAGTGCAGCAAGTGGTGCAGCAACTGTAGCAGGTAGAGCGCTGTGCACACTGCAATGAACCCACGTCACACACAGACACACACAGACACAGATACACACACACACACACAGCCATCTCACCATATGGTCGAATGGCGAGCCAGAATGGCTGCGCCTCTGCCGGATTGTGGACATCCACTTGCCAATCATGCTGCACGCTGAACGCAGGCAGCGTTCGTACCTCTGCCATCACAACACGTCTGTCGCCGAAGTGGTCGAGAGTTGAAGCAACGCTGGCTGTGGCTGGCTGGTGTGGCCGCGGTGTTGTCGTTGTTGGCGGTGTGTCATCACTACATTTTGTCCTGTTGCTATCGACCACCCAAGATCATGGCTGAGGTTTGTTCCTCACAGCACTGGCATCTCATGTTGCATCGCTGCCCTTCCTTTGCTATATTGCTTGTGTTGGCTTTCATCGAGTGTCATTGCGTGCATGTGCGCGACGTCACATCACATCACATCACTGCCAGGAGGATATGACGACCATCTCGGCTGAGCAACTGGCCGAGTACATCTTCGCTGGCGCAGACAAGGACGGCAATGGCTGGCTCTCCCGAAACGAGTTGAAGAAGTTCCTCAGTGGACACGCTACTCTCAAGCAGCATATCCTCGAACGCGGTGGCCTCCACTGGAAGGTGTGCCTTGTGCATCAGCGTCTGTGCGTGCGTGAGTGAGTGGGTGAGTGTGTTTGTGTCTGTGTTTGAGTGTTTGAGTGAGTGAGTGAGTGAGTGCGTGCGTGAGTGAGTGTGTACACTTGTGAGTGAGTTTGTACACTTGCGAGTGAGTGAGTGAGTGCGTGCGTGAGTGAGTGTGTACACTTGTGAGTGAGTTTGTACACTTGCGTGTGTGTGTGTGTGTGTGTGCGTGTGAAAGGTGAAGTTGCATAGGCTTGGCTGCACAGCCTTGTGCTGTCGTGCTCACGGTTCATCTGCTGCTTTGTTGGACTGCGATCCATCCTCCCACGCTCACCATATCGTGTCTTCTGCTTCATTATATTCACGCATGCATGCTCCTTGGACTCACAGACCTTGTTTGATGCACTGGACGAGAACCACGACGGGCGCATCCAAGAGCACGAGCTCGCCGAGTTCTTGACAGACCTCCCTCCGTTGAAGACGTCAGACCCTGACGCATTCGATCCTGCGACTGCCCGTGAGGAGCAGGCCTCCAGCAGCAACATCGACGAGGACCGCAACAGTGACGGCAACACAGATGACGACGACCAGCACAACGAGCAAGATAACAGGGGGAGCAGCGCAGCGAAAGCTGAGGAGCATGACGATGGGTCTGAAGAAGCAGGCGAGATGACACCTGGATACACGCTGGAGCAGGAGTTTGACCTCGCAGGCGAACAGCAGCAACAGGAGCAGGAGGAACAGGAGGAACAGGAGGAGCACAAGGGCGGGGACGATGACGTTGGTGTTCCTGGTGTTCCTGATGTTGAGCAAAGGGAAGACGAGCCAGCGCATACCGGTGAAACAGAGGACACACAAAGTACACCGCCATCATCAACCGCTGTGACCGCAGAAGCAGCTGTCGAGGGGCAACACTCGCTCGCCGACGTCCAAAAGGAGTATCAGGCGCAACTCCAAGCCCGCGAGGCACCAGTGCTCAATCTCCAACAACAGCAGCAACAACAACAGCAACAACAACAACAACAACAACAACAACAACAACAACAACAACAACAACAACAACAACAACAACAACAACAACAACAGCAGCAGCCGGCGTTTCGTGCACGGGCGGCAACAGCGCCAACAATGGCTCGAACAACTCTCGCCCCGCAGCAGACAGTCATGATTCAGCAGAGTCAGTTTTGCGCCCTGTGCGTGCGTGCGTGTGCGTGCGTGTGCGTGTGCGTGTGTGTGCGTGTGTGTGCGGAGTGTGTGCGGAGTGTACGTGCTGTGTTGTGAGTTTACTTTCATGTTGTATCGTGGCAGTGCTCGTGCCATCTTCAGCACTCACAACAGCGATCACTGGTGCTTTGCGTCTTGGATGGGCCAGCGGTGGTTGAGGACTCAGTGCCTGCAAGCATCCTGTACGAGCGAACAGCACAGCTCACCCGCCAGCGACTCTACGAGATGTGGAACGCAAAGGTGCCCACTGCACAGAACTGTGGGTGTGTGCGTATGTGTGCGTGTGCGTGCGTGCGTGTGTGTGTGTATGTGTGTGTGTATGTGTGTGTGTGTGTGTGTGTGTGTGTGTGTGTGTGTGTGCGTGT